CCTTGTTTCTACCACTTTATCTTGTTTCTTTGTGTGGACTATGATGGTCTGTTGTTTCCGAGGCATCGTGGCATTGTATTTAGATCTCTGTTAACTGTTTGTGAAGAGCAGCCAAGGGTGATTCAGGCTCTTCTTGGTGTTTTTTTATAGTTGGCCTGTTGGTGGAGAAGGAGGTAGTGGCTCTTGCTCAGTAAGTGAAGTTGCAGGAGGTGTGAGTGTAGTTGTGTTTTATGTGGACTGTTCTTGTCTCCCACTCAGTTAGACACAAATTACAATTGAATAACCATCAAAAAACTAAAAGCCCATGGACGAAAAACACACCATGTAATCACACAGGAACAGTGACCAAAAAAGAGAAAAAAGGAAAAAAAAAAGAAGAAAAAACAAGAAAGCCTGCAGTATCTGGGGATAGGGCACTAAGAGAAAAAAAAAGTAGGGAAGGAGAATAATAAATGAAAATAAAATGGTAATAATGCAAAAAGGAAAACAATGAGCAGGGTTAACCATGAGAAAAAAGGGGAGAAAGAGAAAAAAAACCTTAAATTAAGAAAATTCAACCAGGCACAGGGAAAAGAAAAAATGCTGAAAACTAGGACCTGGGAAGGGGAAGATTAAGAATAATAATAAAAAGGACAAAAGTATTAATAATATTAGTTGTTTTAAAACAGACAAATACAAGCAAACTAATCACCAGAAAAAAGAAAGCGAAAAAGAAAATAATAAAAATAAAAAAAGAGAAAAAAAAAAATTGGTGGAGGACAGTGCAGGGCACCCAGGCTCCATCTGAGCACACAGACTGTGATGGAGCTCCTGTGGGCTCAGAAAGTAGGTGGGAGTGGGGGATGGCTGCACACCTCTGTTCACCAAGCAGGTGTGGGGTATAAGAGTAACAAGAGGAATGTCATACCTTTTCAGTCTTGCAGGTCCTGAGTGTCATTGGGGTTGCTGGAAAGCAGAACGTGTTCTTAAGCCCCAGGAATCTGCCAGAACACTGTCTCTTTAAATATCCAAAATAGTCAAGCCGCTTTTTAAACCTTCAAAATGGCGGCGTCCCCCGAACTGGCAAAAGTCCCACAGTTCAGCCCACCTTTCTCTTCACCTTCTCCGTTTGTTCCCCAGCCACTGTGCATAGTCCTCCGTGTAGTCCCTGGTTAGCAGGGTGATGTTTAGGTTAATTCTTAGGTCCTACCACCACTAGGGAATCTCCAAGCTGTCTGTGCCATCAGGATCGCTGCCAGACCGCAGCTCTGTCTGTCTCCTTTTTTGGTATTTTCACGCAAATTCTTCTGCTAGTTGGGGTTTAGTCCACTTCTATATCCTTCCTTTCAAGGCTCAGGGGTCCAGGATTATCTTCTGTGTCTGTGTGAATTGGTTTCCCTTTTCTTTGTTGAAGAGGGTCTGTGCAGTCTTTCTGCCTTGTCTGCCATCTTGCCCACGATCCCACAATACAATTTTTAAAAAGAAAACTGACACAGATGAGTGGAGCCTCAGGAGTGAGGGGTGGGGGATAAAGAACCAGAAAATGTGAGGTTACAGTTCAAGCATCTCCTTGGGGGCAACCCTGGAACCCAGCAAGTAGACACTCCTGCCCAAATGGAGCAAGGACTCTTCCCCAGACACAACCGTATCCATCCACACACACCCGACTTGAGGCCAGCATGAGGCTCGAGGACTGGCCTGGCCCCACTGCCCCCACTCCTCCCTGTGGAGGGCAAGCCCCCCCCCACATCACTGCAGGGACCAGGGTGCAGAATTGGGCCACCCAAAACCACAACTCAGGTTGTAGGAGCTACAACTACCTTTTTCATGGGGTGTTATGGTTACCTAGTGCCACTCTGACAGAAATATACCACAAATGGGATGGCTTGAACAAACAGGAGTTAATTCTCTTATAGTTTGGAGGGTTTAAGTCTGAGTTCAAAGTACAGGCTCTAGGGGCTGTGTGAAAGTCCCTTGACACAGGGCTTCAGCTTTGCCTCTTGCTCCCGGCCCACTGAAGCTAGAGACATCTCTTCACTCAGGCAGCTACTGGCTGCTGAGGCTAACAAGCCCAAGGTTGACAAATAAAATGGCACAGTCCTGATGTTACCAAACCACACAGCAGGCCATTAATTCAAGTCCACTGAAAGTCTCAAGATCGGCAGAGCATGGCAGGCTGCTGAACAACAACATGGCTACATGCAGAGTCCAAGCATACC